CGTCCTCATGGCCGCCGCGCCGGAGCCCGGCGAGCCCGCCAAGGGGAAGGTAACCGGGGCGCGGGGCGCGGGGCGCTTGTCCTTCCGCCGCCCGTGCGCTCGGACTGTCCCCGCCTCCCGGGGTTCTGTCCTAGCGCCTGAGGCGGGTGACCACGGCCGCGGGAGGGGGCCGGCGCCGGTCAGGACTGCCGCGGGTCACCGCAGGTCAGGAACTCCACCTGTCGTGCGGCGGGAGGGCGCCGCTGACGGGGGCGACGGAGGGTGACTCAGCGCCCCGAGGACGGGGCCGCTGTGGCGCGTCGCACGCCCACGGCGCGGAGCGCGGAGGGTCGGTGAGCGCGGGGGTGGAGGCCGCTTACACCCCGGGCATCGCTCCACACAGGGGGGTCCGGGGAAGGGCTGGGTTTCCCGGTGGGCACGCGGGGTGGCACGTGGCCCGCGGCCTCCCCGCCACTGTCGCGTCTCCCTGCTCTGCCCTCCCCGGCCCCTTCCCACAGTGGTCAGCGTGCGCCAGCCCGGGAACTGGACTTCCCCTCGGCCTCGAGTCCAGTCGTAGCAGTCCCCGCACCAGGCCCCCAGCTGTGGAGCCTGTGTCTGCCTCTTCTGGGCCTTTGCTCTCCAGGGGTACTAACGCTCAACTAGCTCTCTGGGCGCCCCGGAAGGGGCTCCCGACTCCCCAGCGGACTGAGGCCCTTCTGTCCCCGTCACCCGGGTACCTGGTACACAGCCCTGTCCTTACAGCATTGGGGATACCGGAAGTTAATGCTTTATGTCTTGTCTTCCTCTCGGGCCCCTTAAGAGCAGGAAACCCAATTTATATCCTCGGTGCTGAAAAAATAACAGATATTCAAAAAAAAGATTTAAAAAATGTTTTCAATAGTGAGCTATGGAGATATTAACATTGGATCAGTCATGAGTGTTTACTGAAGACCCACTGTGTGCCAGATTGCTCCTAATCCATTGTTTTAGGATATACTCTGCTCAGCTTGGAAATTCTGCTCAATTCTTCAAAGTTCTTGCTTTTCTGGGGACTTTTCCATCTAAATTTGGCCAAGGTAGCAGATCATCAAATGGTTTATATGAACAAATGTCAGATAAATTGTTTCCATATTTAATAGCAAAAACAGTCAATTTATGCACCACTGGTGGCTTTTCTGTTTTTTAATGTCTCATATACTATTTGGAATATGCTCAGTGTAACAAAAATGTACCCTTGTTTGAAACTTGCATATTTCAAGGGGCACCATAACTACGAACACAAAATTCTAGATTGTTTTGTGAGAACACTGGGCTCTTGAATGTGGCTTTTCTCTCTCTCGTATCTTATTGTTCATCTTTGATTGGAGATAACTCGTCATTTAAGGGTCCTAGGGTGGTTTAATCCATTGAGAATCAAAAAGAATTCAATGAAAGAAAAAAAAATCGATGTATTTAATTGGTCCTTCATTGGCAAAAAAAAATACTGTAGTCAGTGAAATGAAGGATAGGTACAAGCCCTAAAACTGAGCAATGCCAGATTTGTGGGGTAAGGTTAAAAAAAAAAAAAGGCCTGTAAATTGCTCATGAAACACTGGTACCTATCAACGCTCATCAAAGAGACTGTAATAAAATTATATTAACACAAGCTATGCTTGAATTAGCAGCCCAAGGTATTGAAAAAAAGTCTGAAGTTTTTTAAAAAATAATTTTTCAGTGATCAGTACAATCCAGGGATTGTTTATGAGAATCAGCAAACCTGGGAAACTTATCAAGCTAGCATACCTGATAGAACTAGCCGTTAAAAACTCTTTCCTCTGCTCTCCCTTCTTCGCTCTTCAAGAAACTTTAAAATATGAAATTTGGCATATGCCTATCAGGAAAAGTGCTCTAGGTAAATTCTAAATTTATTAATTCACCCATTCAAAAAATATTTACAGGGTACCTCCAGAGTATTAAGCACTAAACTCAGTGCTAAAGATATAGCGTTGATCAAAACAGGCAAATCCTCTTCCTTATGAACTCACGTTCTACTGGGGGAATCAAACAAAAAAGGACTAAGAATTTCATTTACTGAGCCATCCTGCAAAGATCCAGGAGAACGGCAGTGTGTGCTACGCAATCCACCTAGAATTGTTAAAGGAATACCAGCTGGTGTGCCCAGACCAGGGGACGAGAGAAAGTGGTATACGGGAGGAGGGTAGGTGCCACATTAGGTAGGGTCTGCACTGCAGTAGTGAGGAGTACTTATGTTATCTGAGCATAACTGAAGGCCATGGAGGGCTTAAAACGGAGAATGGTATAGTCATCGGAGTGGAATCAACATCTTTGAAGGTACTAGGGCAGACGGCAGCTTGGTGGTAGCAGCAGTGAAGGTGGAAGTGGTTTGGTTCATGATGTATTTGGTTCAGGTACATCCTTCTAGACTTGCTGATACACTGGACAAGTGTTTGATGAACAGAATCAAGGATGACTCCTAGATTTTTGGTCTGAAATTTGGTTGAGGAGTGATGCCTGAAAAATAATTGATCTGGAAATATTAAGTCCAAGGTGCTTATTAGACATAGAAGAGGTGTCAATAGGCAGATGAATATGAGACTAAAGCTTGGAAGAGATCAGGGTTTGATTTATAAATCTGGGAGTCATCATATAAATGGCATTTAATTGAAAGCCTTGAGACGCCTAGGAAGAGACTAGATTCCACCGGGGCGGAAGGAGGCATTTCAACACTTAGAGGTCATCTGAGCAGAGGACAGCAGCAAAGCTGCCAGGAATGGCCAGGGAGATAGGAAACCAGGAGACATTGTCATATTTCAAGCCAAGTAATGTTTCAAAAACATGATTATTTGCCACATGTGCTGATGTAGAATATGATGGATTTTGCAAAATGGATGTCTTTTAGAACGGTGCTGTTTCAGTTGAGTGAAAGAAATGCCTCATTGACGTGAGTTAAAGGAAGGAAAGGAAATTTTTAAGTGGAGCAGCAAACACCGGTAACTTGAGTTTTGCAGTGAAAGGGAACAGAAAAATGGGATGGTAGCTTAGGAGGCTTGGGAGGAAGGGGTGTCAAGAGAGATTTGTATGTTCCTGGGCTGGAGATTATGGTAGAGAGGAAAAACTGATGATACTAATGAAAGGGGTAACTATAGGAGCAAAATCCTTGAGTAGTTGAGAGGAATCAACTGCAGTTAGGACTGGTTTTAAATAGGGACAGGCCCAGTTCCTCCTTTGCAACAAGAATATAGGCGCTGATCAGATACATTTGACAGTGATGAGGTGGCTCTAATCTGATCTATTTCCTGTAAATTCTTTTGGCATTCTGGCTTAGAAGTCTCTTCTGAGGGCCAGCCCCAGTGGCCTAGTGGTTAAGGTCAGTACGCTCTGCTTCAGTGGCCGGGTTTTAGTTCCCGGGCTGCAGACCTATACTGCTGTTAGCTGCTATGCTGTGCTGGCAGCCCACATACTAAAAAATAGAGGAAGACTGGCATGGATGTTACCTCAGGAGAAATCTTCCTCAGCAAAAAAAAAAAAACTTTTGAGCTTCCCTTAGTTCCATCAAGATGAGCTGGTAAAACTGCTTTTCTAAATCAAAGCTTAAAAATATTAGTTTACAAAAAAAATTAATGTAAAAGTTACTTAGTTTATGTTTAAGGGCTTAAATTTGTTAATGGCAGAAGTTAAACCTTAAGTTTGCAAAGTACTAGGGAATAAGAGAGACATGCTTTCACATTATAAACACAACTACTTCAAAGGGACTTAAGGCTTGGACCCTTTAATTTCCATTTCTGAGAATCTCCCAGCTCAGTGCACTCTCTACAGAAGACTGGCTCTTCATTACAGTGTCCCATACGTGCTTTTTTTTTTTTTTTAAAGATTTTATTTATTTAATTTTTTCCCCCCAAAGCCCCAGTAGATAGTTGCATGTCATAGCTGCACATCCCTCTAGTTGCTGTATGTGGGACTCGGCCTCAGGATGGACGGAGAAGTGGTGCCTCGATGCGCACCCGGGATCCGAACCCGGGCCACCAGCATTGCAGCGCGCGCACTTAACCACCAAGCCACAGGGCCGGCCCTCCCATACGTGCTTTTAAGTCATCAGTAATCAGTAGTCTAAGCTCCAGCTTTACCGGGGGGGCTGAGAATTCTCTACTAGGAAAGGGAAAGCTGTGGTCTTAACATGTCTTTGTACATCCTTACCCAATTTTGAGACAAATCGCAGACGTAAAATCACGTACTTAATGTTACTTCCTAGACGTGTGACCTTTGGGAAATGACTCCTCCCTGAGCCTTGGTTTTTTCATGTATAAAAACCCAAAGGGGTAAACGATGCCACGGAAATGACAGGCTTTGGGGTGAGGCTGACTTCACCTCCACTCTGCCAGCACTTAACAGCCTTCTGCTTACAGACCCTGAGCCTGTGTCAGAGGTAATCTCAGAGAGGTTGTGGGAATTACAAATGGGGCTGGGTGGGGGGGGTGTGGTAAAGCGCCTGGCACTGATAGCCCCCTGCCGGCTCCACATTATGACTGTTTAAATTAGACTAGTGTTGGTTTCTCAGCCCTGGCACTGACAGACCAGATTTGTTGGAGGAGGGGCTGATACGTGTATTATAGCATGATTAACAGCATCCTTGGTCTCTATCCACACTGGTTTTAGAAGGTACCATTTTAAATAGGATATTTGTCTTTAAAAAGCAGCTAACATTATCCGATTATTTACAATTTTTTAAAAATTTATACTTTTCTAAACAGTATCTAAAAGCAGTGTTTTCCCCAATCTGATCGATTCATCAGGGGGGAAAAAAAACTTGAAGGTTTCTAAACAGATTCCAATGGCTTATCCCAGATCTGAATCAGAATCTGAGGGTGGGATTTGAAAATCTCAAACTCAACGAGGTAGGTACCTAGCTGACTTAAGCAGCACTATTTCAGGTACTTGATAAAGAACTGGGGTTGACAGCATTTTGTCCAAGTGGCCCAAGAAATATTTATCTGCAGATTCTGGTGTATCCTGGGGTCACACTATGGCTCCAGTATGGGAGGGAATCCAAATGAAAAAGCCCAGAAGCCTTAAAGGAACTTGTGCTGCCTTTCGTCAAGTGTGCAGTGTTTGGTGTGCTGTGGCCAACCCCTGATGGTTCCTTTTGTTCTGCTTAGGACCTCTGTGCCCAAATGTGGAAGCCATCCTAACATTCCACCCCGCGGTAGAAGCTGCTGGTCTGACTTGCAGATTAGACCTGATACAACTGGCACTAACCACCACCACCACCACCACCCTCTGGCCCTAGGACCCTTCCCCCAGGGCAACAGGCTGGTTTGGAGGTGGGGGCATTAGTCTTGGACTGGAGTGCAGGAGTCCAACAGTCCCTGTCTGCATAGCAGCTCACACCCTCTCCCCATGGCCACATTTCACTGGGCTTTTGAGCTGAGAGGGTGAGAAACAAGTTTTTTGCTAAATGAAATGAAAAGCCAGAAACAATTAAATCCCCCAACCTCGTTGTAGGTGAAGATTTATACCGAAGCGCTTTTAAAATTCAAGTCTGCAACATTACTGAGCACCTGCTGTGTTCATGAAGTAATGTGTGTTAGGTGTGTAGGGGGAGGGTAGCAGGGAGAGAAAGAAAAAAATGGCACAGAATGATCCGAGTATGTTATTTTTGCTTTATTGTGAAGCAAGTCTTTTCCGGCAGAAGCTTGAGCCAAAAAAGCAAACACAGGAAGAAATACAATCAAGAATATCTTCATGTTTCAACCTTTAATCTGACTTGCCTTGTTACTGTCCCTTCCCCATTTCTTCCGGTTTTTTCCCTTGTATTACACCTTCTAGGTATCACCTCATCCTACAGAATCCCCCTTTAGCTTAAGGTCCTGCCTCACAGCGTACTACCATTTAAAAAGTGAAACCTTTAAATGGACAAGTAGCTTCCTTCTAAAAGCTGAAGGAAGTTTTCATTACTGAAAACTTGCATTTAATCAAGTTTAGAAAACAGTTACCGTAAGTTTTCTGAGACTTGTGTATTAACAAGAATGCCTTAGTGAAACGTTTAAGTGACTTTTTAAAAATGTCTGTCCTGCCCTCCCCAGACTAACATACAGAATTAGCAGAGTGACAGACATTCAAGTAAACATGCTAAGCTTAAGAACAAGTCCATAAATTCAGTGAAGACTGTAGAAAAATAATTTAAAAATTATTCATTTTAGCACTTGAAGGAACTTAAATTACCTAGCCCAACCCCTTCATTACAGATTGAGGGCCACAGAGATAAAAAAATATATATATATATATCTCCTGCAGATTACAGAAGTTAGGGGCAGAGCTGAGACAAAAATCCCACTCTGGATCTCCAGCTTTTTTCATCACACTAAGTGTGATTACCTCGTACTATCAACAAAGAATCAAATATGATCAAGTGCAACTTCATTATCATAGGCAAGGAAACAGACCAGAAGAGAGAGACTGCCCATGTGTATCTTTACATGAAGTATTTATTATGAACACAACTGATGTTCACCTAGTAAACACCAATAAAATCTGAAGTCATTGTTAAAGAAATTTAAAACAAACAGCACTATACTAATATTATAAGCAAACATGGTTAGAATAATTTTACTTTTTCCATCTATGCTTCCCCCCAAATTATGCTGTTTTTCAATTTCAGTAATAGCCAAACTCCCAAAATCATAGATGTTTAAAGAGCTCATAAAATAATGTATGCTCTTATTTCCCAACCAGTCAATTAGCAAATTATGGCATAACACCATAATTTAATTAATTTAGGTCTAAGTTATCCCACTGCTTGGGGCTTTCTGGTCAAATTCTTAAGTTTCACATTGTATACCAAAGGAAGATGACTAAAGACAATGTAAATGGATTCATGGTTGTCACATAGTACATATTCCAGTTTAATCTTTGCCAAACCGCCCTGAAATAAAATTCTTTCTTGTTCAATTTAGGTTTGTTTTTTTTTTTTATTTTATCCTAGCCCTTTAAGCTCCTAGGAATTTTAGATGTTGAAAACATTCCCTGTGCACGGGACTCAATACTCTATGGTTCTTTAGGATCTGTTGTGGCTGGCTTTGGACATTTTTTGTTAACTAGTGAGTATCTGTTTTTACATACATTTCTCTATGTGTGGTGAACAACTTTCTTCTAGATTGAGTAACATAATTAATTATAGTGGTTATGCTTCCTTTTGACAGGCAGAATTAGAAGATCATGTGATGTTGGAGTAGGAGGATTTATCTTGGTGACTTTAGGATGCTGGTATGTATACTAAGTGTTCAAGACGACCCATAATTGTAATAGGTTTATCTAATTCCTAAGTATACGCTCTTTTCAGACCAGTCTTCCATTGGGAGATTCCCACCCTCAGTGAAGAATCTTGATTTTTATTGTTTAAAAAAAGGACTTGTTAATGGAAATTTCTCTTACAACATGGTATTGCTGGAATGCCTTTAAATATGTCCACATTTTATACACCATTTATCAAATGAACAGACAAATGCATGACATTAGACATTCTATTAATGTCAAGTTATGGTCTATTAGGAAGGCCTCAATCTTTTACCTTACCGTAGTGCTGATTTCTTCCCTGCTTATGGCATCACCTGAAAATGCTACTTGAAGAAGAATGTTCACAACTTCTGGTACAACATGGATGAATCTCAAATATATTTTCTTAATCAAAAAAAAAAGCCAAACCTAAAGAGTACATCCTACGTGGTTCCCTTTATGTGAGGTTCTACAACAAATAAAACTAAGCTAAGGTGATAGAAATCCTCATTTTATGTAAAATAGACCTTAATAATAATAAAAAGAATGTGTTCATAGGTTAGTTGACACCAAACCACCCAGAAAAAGCACACCAAATTAGAATGGTTAAATTTTCAGTCTTAGGGTAGTCATCTGTAAGCATTTTTAAATTTTGTTATTATAAATTTCAAATTAGTTTTTATATATTAATGACTTATTCCTGTTCTTTTCTTACAAGGTTCCATTGTAGGTATAATTATGCAAAGCTAAGAATCCAGGAAAGAATTGCCAGAGAAGGAATTAAAAATAAGATTTTATATGAAAGTACCCACCTTGATCCTGAAAGAAAACAAACCAATGGCAACAGCAGCAACTGAGCCGAGTCTTGCGCACAGAAAACCCAAAGACAACTCACTGTAGTGTGAACAAAGCTGAGACCAGCCGGTAAATCGTTGTCTGTACCACAAGGCTTTCAATCAAGTCAATAAAGTCTGCGTCAGTCATAGTCTTTTTTTTTTTTTTTTACACTTGTGTGAGTACTTACAAACTTGTTCGGGCCCTCTGTCTACTGCCAACATAGCATATAGTGGACCTGTTGTACTTAAAAAAGAGTTTCCTTGTAATAAGGAGTGAGTATAAACAACGGCATTTCAAGAAATAAAATCTCTCCCAGATGGATTTTAAAACTTGCCTTAAAAACAAAAAACATAACTATTACTGTACCCTGTTAAAAATGAGGGAATACTTTCTGGTTTCTAAAGCCAATGCTATTTTTTTTTTTTTTAAAGACTTTATTTATTTATTTTCCCCCCAAAGCCCCAGTAGATAGTTGTATGTCACAGCTGCACATCCTTCTAGTTGCTGTATGTGGGAAGCGGCCTCAGCATGGCCGGAGAAGCGGTGTGTTGGTGCGCGCCCGGGATCCGAACCCGGGCCGCCAGCAGCGGACCTCGCGCACTTAACCGCTAAGCCACGGGGCCGGCCCAAGCCAATGCTATTTTAAGACAAACGAATGGATGTCATCACTTTGTAAATTGTTATTTAAAAAAATGTACCCCTTGCCTGACACTATTCTTCCATTTCTTAGAACAGGTAGGTCATCTCCGAAGAAAATGTTTTTAACTGCTCTAAATATTTTTTGGAAGTATACAGGGTTTTAATTTTTTAAATAGAATTTAAATATGCACACAGGATACATAAAAATATTTTCAGAACTTTGGTACAAAGGAAAAAGAACTGCAGGATTACACTCATATTACTACATGACTGTAAATAAGATATTTATAATTCAGTCGGCTGTCATAAAAACAGCAACAACAATGCACCCAACATCCAAGTCCACAGCATTTATTTATTCAGGAAAATATTCTCCCTTGCCAAAGCAATGAAATTATCTTTGGTTTTAATAAATATTACTTTTCAAGAAAATCTTTTAAATATAACAAACACAAGCTGGAGGTCTTCCTGGTTAAGAAACGATAAATATGAAAAGACACTGGTGGACAGGATTATGGCATTATTATGGGTTCTATTTCTTAATATGGTGAGCTAAAGAAACAGCAAGGAGGAGATGTCTGGAAACTTTATTTTGTTGTGTATCCCTTTTCAGAAGGTGAGTGGGGGCGTGCTCCAGGTCAGTTCACAAGACAAGTGGCATTTTCCTCCACGTCCACCTTCTCGTGGCTGTCATCATGAGGGTTGGGGCGCACAGGCCATGTCCTTTACCAAATGCCCCAACCAGTGAATGACACTGTCAGGCACATCGTAAGAGACTTATTAATGCTAATCATCTGGCAGCCACCAAGGGCAGGACTTGGACATTGATCAGGGAAAGTTAATGGCAAGTCAAATGCAGTGTGCAAGAACACTGCCCACTCTTACCAACACAGATTCCAGCTGAGTGCAGTCTATGCTATTCAAATCATGACCAAATAATGATGTTAAAATACCACTCGTTATAACAGGGAGCACTGCGTGAGTAGGGGAAAAATTGATGAGTACTAATCAATAATCAAATCTCATATTTAACAAGCTATTTGTGCAGGCCACTTATGTTCTCGGCTTCCATTTACTGACATACGTAAGTAACAGAATGTCTGGCAACTGGACTAAGTCAAGTCTCTTCTAGCCCAAGCACACTACCATCACATCTTACCCTGAGTAAGAGAGAAACCTCTTTCGGCTGAAAAAATTTCCAAGGCCTTCACAAGTAACAAGGTTAGTTCGTTTTCACAGCAGAAGGACTGCATAAATTGGAGACCTGGATAAAAACAGAAAGTTGTGACATACTCATTTCATTTGATTACTTTTTAAACGTCATTCTGTAAGTTTATCTGATCAATACCTTTTATTTTCTTCTTGAACTATTAAGATGTTACAAAAAATATATTGATGAATTACTGAACTATGTAACATACTCCAGGCCCTTATCACATGGCTACTGGACACCTTTGATAAGGCTTCCCTGTGGATCTTGACACTTCCCCTGCAGTCTCTCCAATCCAGTCTAGTTCCACTCTGCCACTCACCTTCATGCCCAAACTGTCTGAAGTTTTCTGGTCCTGTCTCCCGTGCACCTCTGGCCACCCTGACCTGAACGCAAGCCTCTGCTCAAACTTTCCACTTGGAATGCCTGTCTGCTCCCTCTTTTTTTGTTGTTTGTTTTTGTGAGGAAGATCAGCCCTGAGCTAACATCTGATGCCAATCCTCCTCTTTTTGCTGAGGGAGATTGACCCTGGGCTAACATCTGTGCCCACCTTCCTCTACATTACATGGGACCCCACCACAGCATGGCTTGACAAGCGGTGCCATCAGTGCATGCCCAGGATCCCAACCTTCGAACCCTCAGGCCCCTGAAGCGGAGCACGCGCACTTGACCACTGTGCCACCACGCCGGCCCCTCTTCTCCCTTTATGATGCTCACTGACCTCTGGGAATGAGAATCACCTTCTCATTCAGGTTCTCACACTACCTTGTGTCTCATGTTACAGCACTTTCACTGGTCACTGACTGTGCTTCAAGTAGAGCCTCAAGAACCCTATCAATCTGTATCTTTGCTTCCCAACCAAATGGCTGGCAGCAAATAGTCCGTACATGCTTGTTAAAATGAACTACTAAACGTTCACTAGAGAGTAGCCTGAGTCCCCCCTCATCCAAACGTTTCAACACTTTCCAAATTTAAGCTGAAAGAGTAACCTACCTTCCACGCCCACTTGGAGCCTGCAGCTTCACTGCTTCCTTCATCGTTCCATTAATTCCGAAAATTCACACTAGGTGATATAGCAGTAGGTACCAGCTAAATAGCTGATTAAAATAGAATTGCAGTTATTAGTAGTTTTAAAAACTTTTTGTGGCTTATCTAACAAACTGACTGTTAAACCTTCTAGTGTTTTATGCATTTCCCCCTTCCCTCACCCATCCCTTTGTTTTTCCTTGACTGCTTCTTTTACATCTCAGTAAAAGGACCTCAGGAAATTTAAAATTAACTGGAAGTTTTTCTCTACTTCTGATTTATATTGACCAAGTTTGCCAACATGAAATTTTTGACTATCCCTAGTACCGATTTGATTTGCAAGTATCTCTTCAGTCTACGTACCTCTACTCCATCGCTGGTTTCCCTTTGCTTCGCTTATATAATGCGAGGAGGTCTATATAATAAATTCAGGATTCCTGTTTATGCACTTTTCAGCAAAGAGCTAGGAATCAAATAGGGTTTGAATCCTTCTATTCCTAGATAAAAATCTGGTGGATGGGGGTCAAGGCACCCCTTTAAAAGTCATGTTAATATACACACTATACTTTGGGTAAGCAGAAAACTTTAATGAGTAAAGTAGAAAAATTAAAACGATTGCTATAATTCTCATTTTTAACGGTGCTCTAGAATAAATTATTTTTTGGAAGCATCTTAAAATATGGTCCAGTGGTCATCAAATCAGGTCAGACTAATATACTATCTTCTAACACCCAAATACTCGTATCTTACACACCTTGTGCATTAACTTCCATCTTTAAATTTTCTCTTAAAAGGGAAGCTTTAGGGACAAAACCTGATCACAAAGTATTTTTCAAAGTATTACATTTTCAAGTTTGTAACATGAGTACTACAGATTAACATGTTGCAAATACGTGTCTTTTCAACCACTGCATTCACCTTGCTCTTCATTTTCTACAATAAGGGATGACATTTTCCCCAAGTATTTCTATCTTGAGAAGCCTACATTATGAGCAAGTACTAATTTAAAGAGGCTTTTACTGTTCAGTTTAAAAGTTTAGATCAACTTAACAGGTGATATCTGCTGTACCTTTTTTCTGGAAGTAACTTCCACTAAGTTCTGTATGCTATAAACCACCTATGGCATGGCCTGACCTCAGGGGTTCAGAGTAAACATCTGCATGTACTGGTTTCTTAAAAGATGAGTTTCCATAGAAATGTTTCTCCCCCTTAGACTCTGAGAACAAGTCACATGAAATGAAACATGCTTTACTATCTAAATTCAAAGCTTATTTTTGAAATAAATTTTTTCAGTTTTATGGTTTTTTTCCTCAAACGAACAGAAATGTTTATGATTTTGACCTTTTACTCTGAAACCGAGTTAGCTGTCTGCTCTTCAGAAGCCATTAGATTGTTTTTAGTTGAGAGAGTAGAGCTGTATTTCATTGAGCAAACCCTGATAGCTACATTTCAAATCAGAATAGCACCCAAGTCCTCTCATTTCACCAAAATGCATTATTCTGGAGTATGCAGTGGGAAAAATAAATTTCTTCTAAGCTTTTTATCAAGTCTTTAACTTCAGGTCAAGGAGAAATTACATGCTCTGGACTGGCACCAAGTTCACACTGACCCTTCTTATTCCTTCTGTCTGTACAATTTAACTTCACTTCCTAGCTGATTTTATGTACTTCGATATGAATTTATATCACCTTATTAGCCAAAAGGACCTCAACTTCCAAGATTTTTTATAAGCTAACAAAAAATATTTGTGCATTTAGTACAGATGCAGAAAGATTTGGGGAAACCAAGAACATAGGTATCCTAGACTCACTTTTTTGCATTTAGAACATTGTAAAAGTATTTAAACTCTGCAAGTCGGGGTGGGGCATTAAAATGTCTTGCAACAAGTTAAACAGAAGGAATTTGAACCATCAGATTAAGGATCTAACCTTGAAAGGACCTGGCAATATTTGCGCATACTACCTTAAACCTATGCAAGAGGACCGCCAATTGCTAACACACCCAATACTTCACTTCAGGTACGCAAAGGAGATTAGAAAACCTTTTTTTCCTATTATAGAATCCATCCAGGTTACCTATTTCTCCCTTTCACCTGTCTTTTTAAAATAAGAGTCATAACTAATTAAGGTGGTCCTGGAAGCCCAATATAACAAGTGTTAAATGTACAAGCAGCAATTAATTTGGAATACCTATTGGAATCACTGGAACACATTTAGTTGGGCCCTTTTACTCTTCCACACAGCACATTCACATGGACAGACTAAGGAAAAGGAGATGAAATTTAAATCAGCATTTTTTTTTTTTGCTTTATTACTCTTCAAAAAAAATAGTAAGTTGGAACCTTTTACTGTACTTGACCATGACTCTCCCCATCTCCCTTAACTACAAATGAGACAAGGATACCTTATTAATAGCTACCTTAAAAGACTGTTAGTTGTCATTCAAATAAGCCCCAATCATTCTTCTGACGTATGTATGGATTTTATCTATCTTCTCTGTATGCCTCAATACTTGAAAAGCTTTTATGTCCCCAAGTTAGACTATACTTATACTGGCCATCTCACTGCTCTTGGTGGCTTTATTTTTAGATATTGTTTGGTGGATACTAATTTGTGGTACTGCCTCTCAAGTGCTTGGCAAGTATAGAATATTTTACTGGACAAAACTGATTTTACTTCCTGTAAGATCATGGACTGTTAAAGGAATGGCAGGAAAGAACACACTAGAAACAGTTCAGTGTTTTATCAGTTAGATGCTATGTTAGCTCCCCAGCCGGTAAGCCCTGCATAACCTCCAGCAGTGCAGACACTCACACTGGACACGTCCACGAGTAACTGCTATGCTGGGTACAGCACTTGACTGGAACAGTGCAACCAGCAAGGAACTGAACCTTTCTATAACACATCTCTCCATTTGCCTACACTGTTACTACCTCATCACTTTCAACTACAGTACAGTTTCTCACACCCACAGATCCAGCTTTGTTTAAAAGCAAAACCCCTGTTCCTTGTCAAGATGCAAGTATATGTTGAATCCTGGCATGAAAAGGGAAGAAAAAAAAAATCATACCATTCCTAGGCAATAATTAGAAAATTACAAATGAAACATATGGGTAAGTTCCTTGTCCCAGTAACTCACCTAACCTAACCAGTGATTGCTGATGTCTTGGCCTATCAGGTGTCTGCAGCATTTGTTCCCCTGTAACACTGGATCTACAATCCCAACTGAAATTATCCATGGTCTGCATAATGCCAAAAAATTGTACTTATTCAGCTTTCCACGTGGACAGCACATTCCCAACCTAACTGCACAAGATATATACAAATATATATGTTACATTTTTAAAGTAATTCTAGGTTAACAACATTATGAATACACTTCTATTCCCAATCTACTATCCCTTATAGACTAAATTAAGTTCTTTGGGCAAACTACTTAAACATATTCAATCACCTGTATTTTTGGTCAGTTGGCTAGGATATAAAAGTATTATCCTTACTTCATGTTAAGTGCATAGTCTGTTAGCCATTTACAAACCTATCTAAAACTCGCTTATTTTCTGAGCTCCAGCTGTGGGCATGGTTGAAACCGTGACAGCCAAATAAAGTAGCATATTCAGCAACACATAATAAAAATTACCTATTAAGGTAGATTACTTCAACTGTTCAATTTCACACACATAGATAATTTAAACTTTGCAATGTTAAGATACTTTGGGATCCTGGTTTTTCATTTTTTTCCCCTACCCCAACACTCAAGGGATACATATTTCACCAATCCGCACTGTATTTCACTTCCAAAATAACTCTCAAGTGTTTATTTTAAATAGCAAGGTTAGTAAAAAGGGTTAATAAGACAAAGATCACTTCAACACAAGTTAGCTGGACAAAGTATTTTTAACATTCATCTTATAAACATATACTTGTAGTACTAGCACTAGGTAAAACACTGGGGATTCCAGCAGCCTCAATAAAGACTCAAGCACTAACCTGGCTAGACCTGCCACCTGCACGTTTTAGGGCAGAAGGTGAGGAATGACATGGCCAAAACCAAAACTCAAATCTAAAAATTATCCAACACTCTCCACATCAGAAGGGTATTGTAGTTTACTTTTAGATAAGTTTAGGCAACTAAGATTTGAAGAGACTGTGGTTTACGTTGACAAATCCAAATTGCTGTTTAGAGATCTGAGGTAATTGATAATATTCTTACTCAAAGCACTAATAGTCCCTTAAAAATTATGCATGCATTCCAATGCGTAAATATTGCAACCTATTACCAGGCCATGACATATATCTTTGCTTTTATTAACTATTACTAAAATGTTGAAACAAACCCTATTTTTCTCAGAGCCCCAGAAATATAACAATGACGAAGTTTAGGCTCAAACCATTTCAAGCGTTCTAGGGAAAAATGGCTTTAGAAAGAACGTTGTGTTCATCTTTCCAGGAGCGTCTTTAAGTGAGTACTCTGGAGGGCTGGGAGTAAATAATTATTCTCTGCCACAAGTTCCATCCATTTTTAAAAATAGACATTTTATGGTTATGTGTAGGAAAGGAATTATGGAAACCAATGTTTTTTAAGACGTGCATTTATATGTCTAACTAATAACAGAAACTAAAACTTGGGCTATAAAGGATGTAAGTTTATGCCTTCCTTAGTAGAATAAGCTTATTCTGGTTTTGGCTTTTTAAAAACATCAGATACACTCTTAGAGATCTACATCAGTTATTGGTATGTGAGAGACGTCTGTACCCACTGCCTAAAAACCTATTAAAATATTTCATCATTTTTATTTGTGCAATCGGACCTATTACAATCCTAGAATAAAAGCCAATTTATATGAAGTTTACAGAAACATGTCAATTCCAACAACTGAGGCAAATCTTAAATACAGAACACAATCTGTCCACGAATGTAAACTCCCCAAGTGAAAAACATACTTAAAATACTATTAGCTGCCTTTCCTGAAAAACCTTTAGCACTTTTTCAAAAACGACTGTCTTTGAGCTTTAAATACCTTGTTGCTAATGCTCAGGACAGCTAGTTTCATTCCTTCTTTTCAGACGGGATCTACCCTAGGCAAATATTGGCTTATCGTTTCATGGATTTAGTACGGCTTCCTTTTTTGAATTTCAATGTCAGATTGATTTGACTCGGACTTCACCTTATGATTTCATCTTGCTGTCTGGACCTTAGGGCCAGAAGCTGGTCCTGGCCTTTTAGGTCAGAGCCAGAGCTCTCCATCAAAGACTAGATATTGAGTAACAAAACGTGACTCATTTCTATCTTGCAGCATTTTTTGTCTTCTTTCCTCATTCACCTCTTTGTGCTGTTTTCATACCACTGTAGCTGACCAATCTGATCTGATTCTCTACTCAGGATGACAGTTACAGGTAACTGTCTGCAAACTTTCTAGTCAGAGCACCCCTTAAACCAACAGCAATCTCAGAAGAGTTTTCTCTGGGTATAGTTGCGACAGTTGTTCTCAACTATATCTGTTATGTTTTTGTTATTCAGTGTTTTGCTTGCCACAGAGGAGAGGTAGGCAAGGGGAGGGGCTCACGATAAACCAAGTTTCTCATTCACAGATCTTATTCTGCCAAACTTAGCATTTAACTTATTCTTCTCGCTTTTGGTTGCTTTTTGGTGCACCCCCTCTTCTCAATTTCTTAAATACTTCCTAAGATTATTTCTTTTCATATAAATATAGACATTACCATTAATTCTGATCTTGACTGCTCCTTAAAATTTTAACATTTTCTGAGCAATTTTTTATCTATTTTCTCTCTCTTCCCCAAGTTTTCTGGGCTACACAGGCATGACAGTCTACCAAATAGTGTTATTTGACCATTATTCTCCCATTACAATGATTAGAATGAGAGCCTTAATAAGCCACTTTAAACTGGAAGGTATATCCAAGAAGTTTTAAAGGCACCTAAACATTTAGAACACCTGAATACCAATTAGCAACGAAGTTTGACTTTTTTCCCCCTGGGTAAGTCTACGCAATCCTAGTAATAACGTCTACTGAAAAGTAGCTCATGCTAGTGGTTGCCAGCAGTAAGCTAAGTGCTAAAAAGACAAAACCACTTGAGACACTACCTTGTACTGCTAACCATTCTTATGGTAATTAAAGGATTAGCCTTTGTTCCAAAAATTTCTCAACTGAACCTACACCATAATCTAAAACTCAACTCCAGCTCACCTTTTAGCAAGAAAATTCCTAGGAGTATGAACAAATTAAAAATCTGATTTAAAATGGCTAAAACAAGAATCTAAGCAATCAGAAATATAGACAAACCTAAACTTACCAGAAGCAACCTGAAACACCAACAAAACGCTACACTGAAGTCAAAGTTTAGTTCTACAGTTTGACTCCTGATCCCTCACTTCACATCAGTGAGGGTCCTTTAGATGATTAAGTGTTCTGTGCAAACCCAATAAAATTACAGTTCGGGGATCTAATGTTATCACATAGCTACAGTCAAGTTAGCAGTGTTGTGTAGCAGTGAAATCAACAACTGGCTCGTATGACGGCTTCTAAAAGCATCTGTTCCCAGAGTTTCATGTATTATACATATGTATATAAATAATCAGTTGAGGACAGCCATTAGAATCATTTTGTAAAGATGATAAACTGCGTGATAACTTCTCCCAGCCAGTACCTTTTCCCCTCATTAAATGTTAAAAGTCATCTGGGGGGGAGGGGAAGGGAAGAATTCAACTTTACTTCATCATTAAAATCATCAGTATACATTTAAGTTTTTAAAACCTAAATGTTCCGAGTACAGAGTAAAGAATAAGCTGTCCAGAAAGCACACACTTAAGTTTTCTCCTCTTGGGAGTTTTATAAAGGGATTTTGAACCTTGATGGCGAGAATCCCAAAACAAGAGTAAAATGAATTCTTTTTATTGCAAACAAACGTCTAAGTTAATTTCTCCACCCACTTTCTTCAGAAAGAAAAAGAAATCAGCAGGCTAAGGAGATACCCATTCAAGAACTGACATGATTAAAAATTAAGATATAAATGGGTGACTCACAATTTCATTAGCTTACAAAGATGGTGGAGTTAACTACTACAAGCACACTAGTTATACAGTATTTTGTGGGAGAAGGGCATACAGACATAGCTAACTTCATATAGATCCCATTAGACAACTGGATTTACAACAAGTTTTTTAATAAGAAATGGGCAAAGCCAGCTTTCTTTTCAGAATCAAAATGCAGAACAAATGGAAAAATTATGGTATTTAACCTTCACAAGTTTGAGCCTCCACAAATAATGCAACCAAGTTTTACATTTTTAACAGCCCTTCTACATACACTCCATCTTCTCTATCTTGTTTCCAAGTTTTATCTTCAGTTCCAATTATGCCAATTCCATTGTTATTTAAAAAGAACAAGCCTTCCCAGTTATTGTCAGAAATTACTATTTAGCTCACCCCCTCCACTACTCAGCAAGCTACAGAGAGGATGGAGTGTAATATGAGCAGTACAGAGTCTTATGCAATTCATGAGGACCATGTGGTCCTTACATGAATCTGGCTGCTAACATTTCTATCATATTGAGACAATGGCTCCCGACTGTTCTCTCTGTGAGAAATGGGGGAGTAAATTCTTAATAAAAGACACCAGGTACAAAGCAACATTTTACTTTTGTTGTGATAAAAAAAAAAGTCACATTTTACAGATAAAATGTAGAACCCTGAAATACTGACACATTCTCTTATCGTGCACAATGCTGAGGTTCTCTTACGATTCACTTTAAAACTGCAATTAAAAATGTACAAAAAAGAAAAGAAAAAAAATCAACCCACAAAGCTTCTAAAAAAGGAACCCGCAGGCACTTCCTCTTGTGGAATGTTTAAAAAGTTAGCCTACTAAAGAAAACAGTCGACTTCTTGTGAAGGTTTTGGAGAAATATGTATCAGTTCGTTTTATTTGGGTATTCAATAATATCCTTGGTGATAATGCTGACTCCATGGCTTCTGACCCCAGAATTGCTGTAAGAGAAAATTTTTTTTTTAAAGAAAAAACATCAATAAGCCACTCAAACTGCTTTTAGGAAATGACAATGAATCTAATTCAGAGTAATTGCTGGAAACAAATTTATACCTGTCATACCTCTGATTTCTATCAAACCAGATTTAGTTAGTATTAACATCCCATTATCAATAAACACATTACAAAAGGAAACACATCATAACTTGGTTAGTTTATACAATTAAAGCTAGTAGTACAAAGAACCATATGTATTAAATAATATTACTTTACTAAAAAAATATTAAGTTACAGCAAACTCCAACCTATATTGCCTTCAAAAAATAAGATTATAGCTACAACTCCAACACAATTCACACCTTGCCCTGAAACATTTATAAACACTTCAATCCCTGGACAAAATCTTTTTCAAGACTGATTCTTATGAACTCAAAATACAATTGATGCACATAAGAAATTACTTACACCCTGCTGCCACTGGTTGTAGCCCTGAGATTGATTTTTGTAGCCACGATTGTTTCCTCGTCCTCTGAAGTTCTTAAAAAAAAAGAAAAAAATCTTTAAAAACTCAGAGCACAACTTGTTAGGTTTGTATGTGAGGGGGAGACAGGGCACAGCACAGAAGTGGACAGTCTGCTAGCCATTCAACTCGGCACCCTCTGCTGGTTTGTTGTGAGGTGTTTAATTTATTCATTACAAGACATCGCCTGACTTGTTGCTAGTTAGTGCACCTGGAAATTAAAATTAATTAAGTGAACTCATTTTACCATCACTAGTTTAATTTCACTTACGTCCATGCATACACACTATGTTCCTTACAATTCTCACTGAGACTATGCAACCTAAGCTTAGAACTTCCCAGGCTAAATTATACAAAAAAATCAGTGCTTACAGAGACCTTAAATCATTACCTGGTTGTAGTTCCCTCTGTTGGGCATTCCACCTCTGTTGTAGTTCCCTCTGTTTGAATAACCGCCTCGGCTGGGAAAAACAGGGCCACGAGGGTATGGATAGCCAATTCCACCACTTCCTCCGCCACCACCACCTCTCTGTGGCATGTTGCCCCTTCTATTATATCCACCACGATTCCCAGGAGCTAAAAACAAGAGACATTTAGTTTAACAGTGTATTGTACCTCCTTTACATATGACTTAGGGTTCTTCTGGACCATTCCTTTACTTTAGGGGAAAAATTAATGTTTAATAAGGCAAAAGTAACGTTTAATTTGTCCCTTCACATAACCTAGGTGTATGTCTACTATCAAATCACACTAAGATTTTAAATTAGTTACTAGGGCAGCTAGGATCAATATGAGAATCAAACTTCTTATGTTAAATTCAGCTCAATCACATATAGACCCAAACTAGAAGATTATCACTTGTTTCAATCTTGAACCAAATAAACAGAATACTCAAAATTAACTTGCCTCCTCCTCTGAAATTTCCACCACGCATATTGAACCCGCCACGTCCTCTATGGCCACCACCTCTGTTAAACTGGTTCTTGCCACTCTTATTTTTATTGCTCTTCTTTGAGCCAGTGTTCTGTTTCTTTTCTGGTGGAAGAGCCTTTTTGCTTTCTTCCTTATATTGCTCCAAAAGTTTTTGGGCTTCCTCCTTCTGAAGTTCAACATAGGTTATTTCATCAAAGCACTCAGCTACCTCTGGCAGAGTAAAGTTTCCTATGAGGAATAAGGTCAGATTAACTTAAAAACCCACTAAACAAATTCACAATCCTAAGTCTATAATTCTTGAATGGCTTTAATTCCTTCAACACACACTACAGTATCTACTCACAGTTTACTAACATTTTCCTAAAAATAGAAATAAGCCAAAGACACTCATTTACAAAGAGTTAATGTAACTCCTGAAACAGTATTACTGGCAGAAAATGTTAATTTAAGTTTGCAGATATAAATCATAAGGAGATTTAACATAGTATGTTAACAGCAGAATTAAATTCCATGCCTTTCATCTTCAGGACTGCATGCTCTGGTAGGTCTTTCCCCTCTACTTCTGCTTTCTTCTGTGTTCTTTGCTTGTAGTCTTCATCTTTTGGGCAAACTACGACGGCTTTTCGTTGGAAGCCTGCAAACAGGCACATTTTTCTCCTCTGGGCAGCAGCAGACACATTTGTCTTTAAAAAAAAAAAAAAAGTTAAGTTTATAACCCTGAACATTAATTCTACGCCAAACCCAATTATCAGTTACATCTTTTAACTTCAAAACTACAGCTTACCTGGTCCAGAATGAAATTGCGCTTCTTACGTGCAGCAATCTCAATAAACTTTCCCAGACACTGTGGAGCTCTCTGCAATAGAGTGTTCAGTTTTCCAGTATCTGCCATTTGCTTCTTAAAACCGGCCACCTATTTTTGAAAGTCAAAAAAAATTTCCTTTGAACTTATGAATCTCAGGTTAAGCTTTTAATATCAGCTTAGAGCTATAGGGAATGCAGGCAACATTCTAAAGTTTAAATATTGCCTTTTCTCATTATTCCTACACCAAAAAACACTTTACCATGTAACAAGACCCTCTACTATTCTATCTTCTGGATGTTAAGAGTTCAAAAAATTCTATAGAAAAGAATTAAAAGACAATTAAGATTAGCCACCAGAAGGCAGTTGACCTTACAGATAAAGACCCTACTTAAGTAACCAATTTAACTTTGCCCACACTCCTGTCTCTAAGATGATCATCCTTTAAATATTATACTTACCATCATTTTATCCATGATGGTATTTGTTCCAAGAATGTTGTATTTACCAGGATTTTCTGCTGCATGTTTAGTAACCCAAGTTGTTTTTCCAGCTCCTGGCAAGCCAATCATCATAACCACCTACAGTGGAGAAAACGTTATTTCATTATCTCATCATTAGAAGCCACTTAGTAATTCTTTAAATATATTTTTAATACACAAGAACCCACTTTACCTAAAATTTCACAGCCTTTATAACAAGGAAATTTGTGTTTGTGGAATATCTAACATTCCACATAAAGAGAGAAGATAGCTACTAAAGAAAAAAAAATCACTGGCTGAGAGCAACAGGTATGGCAGAAAGTAAATGAAAACAGACCACTCACAGCTCTTCTAAATGTCATTTTTGCCAAGCAGGAGGAATCTTTTCAAATGCTTTTAAAACGAAAATCACTTACTTCACAATCTTTCTTCTCTTCAGGCCCCTTTGGTCCTCTAACTCGATCCTCCAAGGGGACATTCTGGATAAAAGTATAGTCTTCAGGTATTGGAAAATATGGCTTTTCCTTCTGACCAAAATTAAATTCAACTGCACAGTTGTGGCAGAGAACATGTGGGAAGAGTGGCCGCCCAGCAAGAACTTCCTTACTGATTTTGAATGCAATGCCAAGATCCTGACCATTCTTTGCATAGGAGAGTTCTACTTCATCACTTTCAAAGTTCTGTTAATTGGAAAAAAAAAAAATCAAGTTTTAATCTGCTTCCTATAAGCCTTCTACAAAAAACTTCAAAATTCAAATTAGGAGTGAAGCTTATCCTGTGGAAAACATATTTAGGTTAACTATTAAGAGCTTTCTGGTTATAAACCATAAAACACCTATATCCAAAAGCAAAAACAGTATTGCCTTAGAAAATAGACTGGATTTTTAGATCAACTTCATATTAAGTCGTTTTCAGTCAAAATGAGTTGGTATTGAAGGCTGACATTGATACAGCTTAAGAAAAAAAATTCTAGCTAATAACTTGCCATATATACATACAAATTTAGCTATGACTTACAGCAAAACATGTAATCACATCATTTTCATCAAACTTCTCTCCATAATCTTCAGTCTCACAGTTGCATGTTTTTATTCCTTTCAGAGAATATCCATAAGAAAATTCTTCCTCACCTAAGAAAATAATTAACTTTCATGAAGCTGATTTTTCAAAACAGTCCAATGACCCACATATTTTAATATTCAACAGAAACAATAAGTATATAATCTAATGTTCTCTCACTTACACTGACTTTATACTAGATATAAAATTAATGAGAGCTGGGCGGATTATATAATTAGTTGATAAATTGCATGCCATGGATAACATTCTATTTTAACCATTAGTCATAAAACAAGTAACCATAAAAGAAAAACTAAAATTCAGCCTGTGCCTACTACATGCTAATATTTTTCATCTCTATAATATTAACAGACTGTATAAAAACAGGCAAAAAGTTTAGAATGCTTTCTTGTCTAACTACTGAAATCAGACCCTAAACACCCATGAGCAAAATACTCAAATGGAAACTTTACCAAGCAACATTCCACTTGTGGTTAGTGACCAGCCAATACGAACTTCATGTATGTCAATATCTTTTGTATATAAATGCCTTACTGGGATCTTCTCTGTAACCTGAAAATCAAATCATAAGTGATTAAACCATAAACCAAGGAACATAAACCCCTGAACTCTTGCTTATTTCATTTGGGCCATGGGCTAATTCTTCTCTAGCTCCTAATCAAAAAAACACCCTCTCTACCTCATTTCCCCCAACATTTACGAGAACTTTAAAAACTGACATAAAGAGCTTATAAATTGCAATTGAGAACAGTTGAGGTTAAGTACTTGGTTGATTCACACGTATAAGAACAGTTAAGGGGCTGGCCGAGTGGCGCAGCGGTTAAGTGCTCAAGCTCCGCTGTGGCGGCCCGGGGTTTGCCGGTTCGGATCCCCAGAGCGCACGGAAGCACCGCTTGGCAAGCCATGCTGTGGCGGCGTCCCATATAAAGTGGAGGAAGATGGGCACGGATGTTAGTCCAGGGCCAGTCTTCCTCAGCAAAAAAAGAGGAGAATTGGCAAATGTTAGCACAGGGCTTATCTCCTCACACACACACACACAACAAAAACCCGTTACTATTTAGAAATTACATATTCTAAATTCTCAATTTAAAACCATTTAAGGTATACCTTTACTATGCTTTTCTCCGGAACAAAACCAGGCCCCTAACCAAATTTTTTAATTTTTAAACCGTTGGTAGGCCTTTCAAGTGCCCAATAAAAAAAAGGAGGACCCTAAGTAAACAGGCTGGAACTATATCATAAATTCTGATATAACAAACATGTTCAACCATTACAAAACAAAGGTTCCAAGCCCCTCTTCTAATCCAAAGAAACTTCAAAAATAAAAAGTTCCACTGACACTTAATAATATCAGACAAATGAAAACTCAAAGGCTCTTAAAGTAAAAAAACAAATCACAAAACTGCATTTACCTTCATCTCAAAACAGACTTTGCCCTTTGACACACCATAAGATGCCCTTCCTCCAGCCCAGAGAAAAGCAAAACTCTCCATAGTAAGGGAAGAAGCACTGAGGCGATCTCTTGATATTTTAAAATGTAGATCACAATTATCTGTAATTATATCAAATACCATATTATTTCTTTTGACATCCAACGTAAATATATCTGCTATGTAAACAAAACTTGGTTATTAAATTTTTGCACTCTACCTTAATTCTGAATAAAAGTTTTTACAGATCATGCTGTTGTAATTTTCAATTTAAGCCCCACTCCCACCAAGTCACTCTTGCCAAATTAAGAATTAAAGTGTAAACTATCTATAAAACTAAGGTTTAACGTGTATATTTTACATACATAAAATAATCAAGACAATGTGACATCAATACATACCTGCTCTGCTCTTTACCTTGATTTAGAGGCAAGCAGTAGAGGATAGCAGGAAATCAAAGTGAAGCATGCCAGAACCAGGTAGAATTTACCAGTGCCACAATAAAACTGAAGGGAGGCCATGACCAAATACTTCAAAATAGGAGTATGAGCTGTTGATCCTGCATTTTTTAATTTTAAAACACCAGGGGCTCTAGATCCTAAATTCTTTTCTCAAATTTGTGAAGGTGGCAGCCTCAATCTACGAAGAACAAACCTGGTGGTCCAAGGCTGTTAATATTACAGCATTTGAGGTCCCCTTTCCCCAGGCTTGCCTGTTACTCAACCACCACAGGAGATTATCCACTTCCGGGATTATCCAAATCCCAGATGTCTCTAACCTAGCTACCTTCGGGTCACTGGGTATTAGCATGCACCTTCTCCGAGTTCTCACTTGAGGGAGAGCTAAAGTTAAGTTAGAAAGCTGTTCTCTTAAGCTTTTATTGATGAGAGAAAATTATACCTACAGTTTGGAATTTTCCTTCAATTAGCTCTGCTTCTCAAATTCCTGATCATCATTGATAAAATTTTCAATTCAACAAACTGTTTGAACCCAATACGGCACTTAACAAATTGATATTCCTAAGTGATCAGCTAATAGTCTACTTTGTAATAATAGCATTATTTTCTTGAATTATTGCTTCAGTATTTCGCCAATCCCTACTGACTTTATATTTAAGCAACTGAATCTAACAAAGCTTTCAACTTAACTACTTTTCCATGCAGTTTTTTCTTTTATAAAGACTCCATTATCTCAACTACTTCGTAAAAGGTACTCAATAAGAAATCAAGAGTTTTACACTTACACTCTTACAAACCTCAATAGAAACAATTTGTTTTCAAAAAGGTGAAAATCTAAGCTGCAACTCCCTTAGACCTACAGGGCAAGCTAACACCTTACCTCATCTTTCAAGCAATTATTTCTACCCTTTGTTCTGTTTATCACACTAAAGACCTGTGCATTCCGCTCAAATACTAAACCAACAAAAATTTTTTGTAATTAAAAAATTACGAATCTGACAGCCAAGGCCCATTTAAAGGTTTGTAATACTTCCTCATACTCAATTGCAACCCAACTGGGTAAAGTAGCAGTTTTTACAGCGCTGCCATTGATACCATTCGCTGCTGAAGAAAGCTAGTGGCCCAGTGATAGCCCACTGCTGCTGCCCCAGGTCTTTGGAAGAAATCAACTTATGTTAAAGCAGCAGCTACTGAACTGGAATTAAGAACAAAAGAGCAGTTATTGAGAAAGTAATATTACAATCTTTTAGAATAGGGAATATACTTCTGTGCTAATGGGAAAAATCATTACGAAATATTTAACCCAAATAGCTCAATATAATACCACCAAAAAATGAAATTACTTTATTGTAGAAGCCTGTAAGGACAAATTATAGGTAGTCTTACAAATTTCCATTAGCTAGTCAAAAATTGGCATTAATTTTACATTCCTACAAACGAGAACTTTCCAGTCACATAAACAAGTTACCAAATTGCTAAAACCTGTAAAACTATCAATACAACACAACTGATACCGCGCTAGACATTACGCTACCGGAATCTGAATACAAGCCATCTTCCTGCCTTTAAGAAAACTTACGCTAAGTGCTCCGCGTAAGTTCAATGCGCTGCATTCAGTTTTCTAACATTTTGGAACCAAAAACCACCACCACTGATCACTGGGGAGCAGGGGGATGAAGAGCTCCACTTACAAGTATCGAGACAAACCACCGTGTCATCGAAGTGCTCATCTTCTTCCTCCACCGGCGGCTGCGGGGACTTGGCTCTGAAAGACACAAGCGCCTCCTGAAGCGGCTGTTCCGCCCGCGTTGGAGCGGGCGACACGCAAGGCCGGGCCGGCCGCCTCTACCTGCTGTACTTGTTCTCCTCAATGTACTCGAAATATCCGCGGCCGTGATCTTCGCGAGGGCGCTTGACGCCTCTCTTCTTATCTCCGCCCTTCTGCTCTGTTTTGCCGTCTCCTACAACACACAACACCCCGTGCGTGAGGCCACGCCGCGACACCACCAACGGGAAAACCCTTTTCTACTTCCAAGCGCAGCAGAGCTAGCCCCTTTCCTGTTTTTTCTGCAAGCGTTTTCAATCGACGCGTCAAACGCGGAATTCAAAGAGCGATCAGCTTGGAACTGGCTCGGCGCGAGTGACGCAGTCTAAAGACATCACTAATCGTGCCCGTCTGCTCGAAGGTTCGAGAAGGCTAATGAACACTGGCGCGGCCTAGGCGCGGAGCCCACGTGCCAGCGCGGGCAACCCGGGGAGGGGGAGGGGCCGCCCGCCTCCCCTCCCCCACCGCGCGCCGCATTGTGCTCGCCTTCCGCCCCGCCCGCCGCCGGAAGTGACGTCAGCGGGCCCCGCGCCCT